CTGGTAGGGGGGAGGAGAAACATGACTATCGAGTTGTGATGATGATGACGAGAGAGATGAAGGGAAAAGGGGCCAAAGAGAGGGCGGGAGCAATGGAAATGGGTGAGATGATAAAGGTGAGAGATGGAGGGAAGGGATAAAGTGAGGAAGAGGGTGATGAAAAGTAATTACACATTGCTAAGCTTATTTATGCTTTGTGTTGGATTGTATACCTGTATGCAATTTCATACTTGATTACCGTCTCTAGAGTAATATAGCAAAATGCAATTGACTAACCAAAAACTTTTAATTTTCAAAATAATTCAAAAATAAAATAATCACACCAGATGAAGTGCAAAAAACAAAAATATTGGAAAGCCAGCAAAATAATGGAAAAGAAAGAATAAAAAGATAAGTGTAATATAATAATAATAATAAGTAAAGAAAGCAAGAAGATATAGAACATCTTAACTGAAAATAAGGGAAGAGAGGATTCAAAATTCAGACTCACTAATCAAATGATAAAGCTGATTTTTTTTTTTTTTTTTTTTTTTTTTTTTTACTGATTATAGTCGTAGATTACAGTCTGGCGGGCATTCTGAACGGAGACAGAGAGGGAGGGACACAGGGAGAAAGCAGATGGGACAACCATTCTAATGCTATTGTTTGATACGGAGTCGAGTGTGTATGTACATGTACGTATATATGTGTGCGCGTGCGTGTGCATTTGCGAGTGCCCTCACGCCTGTCTAACACGCCTCCCCCCCCCCCCCACACACACACAATGAACAACAACACACAAATCACCAGAAAAAGAGAAAAGAAAAGAAAAGAAAAGAAAAGAAAAGAAAAGAAAAGAAAAGAAAAGAAAAAAGAAAAGAAAAAAGAAAAGAAAAGAAAAGAAAAGAAAAAAGAAAAGAAAAGAAAAGAAAAGAAAAGAAAAGAAAAGAAAAGAAAAGAAAAGAAAAGAAAAGAAAAGAAAAGAAAAGAAAAGAAAAGAAAAGAAAAAGAAAAAGAAAAGAAAAGAAAAGAAAAGAAAAGAAAGGAAAAGAAAAAAAAGAAAAGAAAAGAAAAAGAAAAAGAAAAAGAATAAGAATAAGAAAAGAAAAGAAAAGAGAAAGAAAAGCAAAGAAAAGAAAAGTAAAGAAGAAAAAAAAAGAAATATAGGTTCGCTTTCACAAGAGCAATCTAGCCGCGGCGATCGGTTCGCCCGGCGATTAACATAACATAGAGTTACGTTGTTTGAAAGCGTCTGCAAAATCAGCCACGTTATGCATACCTCACGAAACTTCAGTAAACCGAACCTGCTCGTTTTCTCTCTCCCACCTCCCTTCGCAACGAGTAAGAACACTTAGTGTATTATAAATTCCGACACATACACATACACACTTAGCGACAAGCAAGTAGTAGGAGCCATAATAATGTTCGGTCCCCTCTCCCCCTTTCCGCCTTCCTTCCCTCTCTCCTCTCCCTCCTTTCTCTCCCTTCTCTCCTCTTTCCCTTTTCCCTTTCACTCCCTTTCTTCCCTCCCTCCTTTCCTCTTTCCCCCCCCTCCCCCCACACCCCGCGCCTCCTCACAACCCCCCTCTCCCCCTCTCCCCCCCCTTCCGCCATAGTTTGCGTGTCACGTGACTCTTACCATGTCCAATTATTGTCCATCACTAATACTTCACGTGAGAGAACCTCCACTCCCTCTCACCCCCCCCCCCTCCTACAAACTCCTTCCCTCTTTACCCTCTCCCTCTCCCCACCCTTCCTCCTTCCCTTCTCCCCTTTACCCATTCTCCTTACTCCCCCCCCCCTCTTTTTCCCTTCCTTCCCCTTCCCCTTCTCTTTACCTTTCTCCCTCTCCCATCCCTTACCCTTTCTCCTTCACCTCTTCTCTCCTCCCTTCCTTCTACACCCCCCCCCCCTTTCCTCTCCTTCCCCCCTTCGCCTTTACCTCCTTACCTCTAACCCCTTCTGCCCCCCCCCCCCCCCCCCCGCTCCCTCGCAGTTACAGGTATACAGAACACGCGTCCGATTACAGGCACAATCATCCAAAGGCACGGAATGCTACGTACGCGATGGCATGCACTCGATATTATGTAAACTTTGTAAAGAAGCATTCTTTCTCATTCTCTCTCTCTCTCTCTCCCTTTCTCTCTCTCTCTCTCTCTCTCTCTCTCTCTCTCTCTCTCTCTCTCTGTGTTTTTCCCTCTTTCTACCTATATGTCTGTTCTTGTTTCTTATTCTCCCCGTATTTTACGCACGTACATGCAGATCGATGTATTTCTATTTGCCTCTCTTAGACTTTTAAAAAGCTCGGTCAAAATAACCAACTAATTACACGCGTTGCTTGCACGTTTTATCACGCCAACTTGCCGGCTGAGAGAGAGAGAGAGAGAGAGAGAGAGAGAGAGAGAGAGAGAGAGAGAGAGAGAGAGAGAGAGAGAGAGAGAAAGAGAGGAGAGAGAGAGAAAGAGAGGAGAGAGAGAGAAAGAGAGGAGAGAGAGAGAGAAAGAGGAGAGAGAGAGAGAAA